CCATATTTCTGAATATACCAGATATATATACATATTTATGTGTGAATGTTAGACCGGGTTAGTAGCCATGTGAAAGAAGAAAGTTTGTTATTACCTTCCCAAGTTTGATGGCTTACGTTGAGATGGTTTTAGCATCATAATAGTTTGTGGTATAACCGCATCCTAAAAACGTGGTAACATAATGAGTGTGGGGGGGGGTGAATTCCAAGAAGCCAAGATACTCTAGACTTAAGTTTTCAAACTGCAGAGGTAATTATAAATCTTGTTTTTTTTTTTTTGCGGCCAAACCTAATGAAAGGTCCTAGTAGTGATGGGCAAAACTGCATTTACTAAATACTGGTATTTAGGTATTTATGTATTGTGTAGTGAATATCAAAGTATTATTTACTTAAGTATTTTTTTATGTCACTAAACATTTTAAATGATATTAATTACTTTATGTGTGCTAAATACATACTTTAAGTCAATATATTTACTTATTCTCATAGAACTACATAAGCACGGAGTATGCGAAACTTTTTCATGGCAGAAATATATTCGGAGGTTTTCGATTTCCTGCCGATCGGCGACCATTGTTAGAAAAAACGTTTCCTAAGTTTCGGATTGGGGATCGAACCCTGGCCCCTTCACGTGGTAGTACGCACTCTAACCCCTTAGTCAGAGTGGCCTCTCCCTCCGTTTTTTCCCGGAGCTCGGCCACACAGGAATATTTTTAGGCGGTTTGTTTGAATTTTAAATTTTACGAATACCAAGTAAACCGGAACCTAATTTATTTATATACAGAATCCAGAAGTTCTAAATATTTATTTTACTAAAAATGGAACTTAAGCGTTTGTATTAATTTTATATCTGAAAACTAGAAAATGTTCTACTACTTAAAAAAGGTTAAGGGAAAACCTAACGAAAATCTTTTACTGTTGTTATCGTTGTAGCAGCTTCCTAAATTCTACTTAAATCAGTGCATGGACTACATGTTGTCTTCCCTCTCACTTAACGGCAGGCTAAGGAAAAGCGCCAATCCGACGGGTTTTAGCTTTTGTGAAAGGGATGCAAGATGTGGTCATATAGTGGGCATTTGAAGATGAAACAACTACAACGAACATTTCATTCAAGTTGAATTGAACAGTTTAACTGAGTATCGCGAGTCTCAAGAAGCAACTCGAGCTCTTCGTCTGCGATAGTTGGCGTTGGTCTTCGACGATGGAATTCAAGGGGGGAGAGTTGACGAAAGTGTTGACTGATTCCCGATAAATGGCCTCTCTGCAATATACTCTATTTGTATAGTCGGCCTGGATCAACGGTTGGTGTAATCTCATTCCCAAGACAGTCGGTTCTATATGCTAAAGTTGTTCCCGATAAGGGACTGATGTGTCAACGATCTAATCTTTATAAGATCGGCGAACCAAACGGTACTATATTCTGCACGCTACCAGCGATTTTGTAACCGAAAAATTTTATTACCAAAATTTTTTACCACTTCTTATAGGCGCAATTCTAGGTACTTTTGTGGTCAGCTGAATAAGTTTTGACCAATTTTGGCTATATTTATTTTGTTTATTTAGATAATGTTAGTATTTTTTTTTTAAATATGCTCGACAATTTCAGCGCGATGTTTAAATTTTCGGGCGTTATTTTTAAAGTTCATTGATGGTGCATTCATTTGTTACCAGCTTACAAAATGGTAGCAGGAGTGCATGGACTATAAAAGGGTTTAAAATTTGAGAGACACGTTATTTACCGTTTACGAAATTTTTGTTACCAGCGCAGAATAGATAGGTGTGACTTTCTTATAACTTCGAACTTAAATTTGGTCATGATTTCTGACTGGTAGCAAAAGTTATTCAGGCAGTTTCTGCAATTCACTTTCTAGTGAATTTCCAACCCATTCAATTTGAATTCTAAGTGCCTGATTGTAGAGAAAATATTTAAAATATAACCGGTTTTTCATATTTCCATTTTTCGAGTAACTCGAAACCCGGTTTTTGAAAAAAAAGAACAGTATTTAATTCTACAAACATAGGCGGTTGCATATTAAGTAATTATTATTAATTATTATAGTAAATATATCAACATACATATGTCCTTCATAAAACCGAGTACTTTGTAAAAAGAGAAATATTTACATACGTACATAAAGTCGTACATTAAAGTAAGCAAGGCATACAAAAACGAGGGAAATTGATTAGCGATGAATAAATATAAATTTTTTTATTAAAAAATTTCGCTAGGTTTGCAAAATTTCAGAAAACCTTGAAACCACAAGCATTAGTGATGTAGTTTGCATTTTACAGCATTCAAAATCCTATTCATTAAGCATGAGCAGTCAGATATTTAGCTCTGTAGAGATATTGATTAAAGTGATAGCATGCAAGTTAGTTTATTTTCCAAATCTGCAATTCCATATTTTTACCAATATATGTAGAGATATAATAATATTATTTATAGTCTGTGACATTGCATTGAGAATGCATTCATAACGGCAACCAGAAGAATGTATTCTACAAACTAGTAAATATACAATACATAAACACGTGCAAGATTATGCAGTGTGACTAGAAATTCCTTGGAGACTTCACACAAACAGTATTCTGCATCTATGAAGCTCGAATAGTATTCCCAACATAAAATATGAAGATTGCAATTGATTATAACAGCGCGCTAGCACAAAGAGGACTTGTGCGAAATGACCCTATAGGAAATACATGATTTTATGAAAACTGAGAAATTCGCTGGAAATAATTGGAAACAGACTTAAATTGGGGAATTAAGGCAATTTTTTGTACTAAAAGATATTATTTATATAGTAATCTTAATTGTTAGTACGGCTACATATCTCCTGGGTATGGATTTAATTATGCTGCTATGCATACATTTTTTCTACATATACTTGAGATTAGCTCTACCCTTGACTCTAACTTAATGTCCATAACTGCATTTGTCAGTATAAAGTTTTTGAGGAATCAAAATCAAATACATGCATAAAATGTATGTATATCATTTAGACAAATATATAAACTGCTTGCACGCAAGTGCCGGTTATGCAGAAAGTACGCAACTTGTAAAGTTTTCCTGCAGAACAACCACTCTTTTTAGAAGTGTGTGTACCATCATGGGTGTGTACCTATGAATGTGTACAAGCATGAGCAATTGTGAGGAATTTTTTAAATGAAGTTTTAGTAAAGATGCATGTATATGTACATTAGTGTGCATCATCACAAAAAGTTGCGGATTTTCCACAGGAATTATAAAATCTGTTATCTTGTAAGACTTCCGCAAAATTTATTCGGTTTAATTCATATTAAGATTTATGTGAACTAGAAATATTTGAAAATACCTCTAAAATTCTGATTATGTAGAATACGTTGAGAAAAATTTTAAACATTTTAATGCAGACCTTTTAAGCTTAATTTCTTTTATAAACTGTGATGATTTTTTTGAAAATATTTCGACGCAAATATTAAAATATAATGCCCCGTATTTAAAGTCAAAATATAGTCGAACCTAAAGTTAAAAGCAGATTTTTGACATAACTTTCAATGTTTTATCTGTCAAAAAAATCTGCTCTTACTTTAGAGTCGACTTTATTTTGACTATTATAACTACGGCCGAATAAATTTTATTAATTTTTTTTTGTATTTTTTTTTGTATGGAGAGTAACGCACCCTAGTGTACATACATAAGTTATTGATTTTGATTTTATAATACGTATGTACATAGGTAGGTATTCACATACGAGTATTTTTCGATTAGTTTCTTTGTGAAAAAGTATAAGTTATATTTTTCTATTGAAAATATTTAATCACATGCTAACTTTTTTTTTATATAACTGCATTATGTATGTATAGTAACATAATATTTATGTTGAGTTGTTTAGGGGTAAAAATTTATTTCGTAAGATATTATGAAATCTTCGCTCTCAGGTGGACATGATGGTATGTATGTGTGGTGTGTGTGTGTGTGTGTGTGTAAGGTTAAATTTTTCAGTATACTTCATATCCGTGCATGCTATTTGTATGACTCACCTTAATTGAGGGTGGACCACTTGAATGTGAATCATTATCCGCCAATACCGATGGATTATTTTCATCAACTACAATAATTTCATAGTCACCATCTTGTATTGTGCGAGCGCCTGCAGGCAACAATGATGTTGATGTTGTTGGTGATATTTGTTGTTTTTGTTATTGATAAATGATAGTTGACGAAGTTATTAAGTCACATTGACAGTGGCATTTGTATTGTTGTATTTTGGTGTTGTTAAACGTAGTTGAAAATGGCCATTGTCATTGCCGTTGGCGTTGAAAATTCATATTGATTGTTATAGTTGAATTCCCAGTGATTGCATTTACATGTGTTCGTGTGGCACGTAGTATTTAGCAGAAGAAGAAGAAATTTCATAAATAAATTTTATTGAAAATTATGCATTGCAATTATTGAAGTTATTCAAAGAACAACAACAACAACAAGGAAAATCTTTAACAATAAAATAGAACAGAAAGTGAGGCAACTAGACAGATACATACATACATATGTATATAGGTAGATAGATAGAAGTTTAAATGTAAGTAAATATATATGTTTATGGAACACGGAAATGTAGATAAGTTGCATATAAAGCAGCTTAAGGTTAATAAATATAGCAGCTATTTCCTTTTGTTATACTCTTACATACGTATATTAGCTTAAAATTGTATGGCCTTATTCATAAAAAATATAGTAGGTTTAAAGAGCTTTATATATTGACGTTTTCAAGGGTTTTCCAATTTATAAATCTTTTATAAAACTACTTTATTTTTTATGAAATAGGCCATTATTTTGTATTTAAATAGTAGGTAGCTCGCATAGCATATTAAAGTGAAAAACACACCGGAAGAATAACATATTTCTAGCTCAGAAATTACGAAAATTGCCAACTCATTAGCAACGGTAGTCAAGGTGGATAGTAACCGATTGGTGGAAAACCGATTGAAAAAAAAAATTGTGAATGCCTCTTTTTATTTTACCTTAGAAGCATGATCTTGTTTACTATGCGATAAAAATTTAGAACTTCTTAGTATTTTAGTGATAGTTGAATTTTAGAAAAGTTTCAATGCTAAAAAGTTTAATAAAAAGCGAAAGAGAAGTCAATTTTTTTT